CTTTGGTGAATTAAAGCATTTCAGGATTATTTTAGGGTTGGTCAGGTGCTATACATGTCCTTTAAAGGGAGTGAATATAGAGGTGGGGAAAAGCATTTACATTTGTGAGGGCAGGTTGCTTAAAAATAAATTTTAATTTTCTTCTTCAAAAATATTAAATATTTCTTTAAAAAATAAACAAACCAACAAACAACTCAGCTCATAGATAAAGACAAATAAATGGGATGTTCCACTGGCATTTAGAATGCTATTCCCAATCTCCCCTTTCCTAGTGTACCATTCTTGTACAAAACGATGTTGTTTGAGGTATGCTAAGTCAATACCATAACTTCTAAGTACAAGTCAGCCCCCAGATTGTTTTTGAGTTCATATGAAAATGGGCAGCTTTATAACTTAAAGGGACACTGTAGTCCCCACAACCACTTCAACAGATTAAAGTGATTACAGTGCCTGGAATCCATGTGCATCGGGTCTCACATCAATGATAAATGGTTTACTCCCTATTTACTAGTGAAGCTCAGTACACAGCAGCTTAGCTTCCAATGACAAAATGATGGAGTCGTAGCTATGTTCCAATTCACGCCCTACCAGTGGTAATGGACAAAGTGTAAGCTGAGCTATCTGAGCCAATCACCCCTTCTATCCCTTCTTCTGGTATGGCCTATTGTAGAAGCATAGCTTCTATATACTGCCCCTGGAGGCCACACTGCATACTGCACGGGGACTGAGCATCTCTACAAATTGGTAAGTAAATCGATGAGGAAAATGTGGAAGCTTTATGGGTAAATATCTGCTTGGGGGAAAAGAAGGGAAACCAACTATTGGTTGGGATATGTTATAAACCACCTAATGTTAATATTGACGAGGAACAACAGCTGTTTGAGCAAATTGAGAAAGCTGCAAATCTGGGTAACACTTTAATTATTGGATTTTAATTACCCGGACATAAATTGGGACAGAGGGACTAGTAGCTCAGCAAAGGGAATTAGGTTTTTAAACTTGTTAAATGACACCTTCATGTCACAACTTGTACAAGCACCAACTAGAATGGACGCTTGTCTGGACCTGGTTTTAACAAACAACGTTGATCTTTTGACCAACATTCAAGAAGGTGAGCACTTGGGAAATAGTGATCACAATATAGTGTCCTTTGAAATAAACTCAAAAAAACAAAAGCACATGGGGTATACTAAAACATATCATTTTAAAAAGGCCAATTTCAATAAGTTAAAGGAAGCTTTACAATATATTGACTGGCATAAACTCTTTAGTGAAAAAAACACTGAGGATAAATGGATCATCTTCCAACAAATATTAGAAAGGTACATTTCTCAGTATGTACCATTGGGAAATAAATATAAAAGAAACAAATTAAAACCAATGTGGCTTAGTAGAGAAGTAAAACAAGAGATTAAAAATAAGAAAAGGGCATTTAAAGCATTTAAATCGGACAAATCGGATGCATCTTATAAAAGATATAAGGAAGCAAATAATGCGTGTAAAAAGGCAATTAGACTTGCTAAACTTCAAAATGAAAAAATGATAGCTAAAGAGAGCAAAACCAACCCCAAAGCATTTTTAAGTACATAAATTCTAAAAAAAACAAAAATGAAAGTGTAGGTACACTAAAAACTGAAACGGGGGTGTTAGTTAATGAAGACCAGGAAAAGGCAGGAATTTTAAAAAACTATTTCTCCTCCGTATATATTAAGGAAGAACCCATGGCAATAGATGTGCAAATGATTGCTACTAAAAACTTGCAGGATAATTGTAAATGGTTAACTCAAGACAAGGTGCTGCAGCAACTAAAGAAAGTTAATATAAACAAATCTCCAGGGCCTGACGGTAACCATCCACGTGTACTTAAGGAACTAAGTGTAGAAATAAGGTAACCTCTGTTTTTAATCTTTCAAGATTCTTTTCTTTCAGGAAGTGTTCCGGAGGATTGGAGGAAGGCAGATGTGGTTCCTACATTCAAAAAGGGTTCAAAATCCTTGCCTGGAAATTATAGACCTGTGAGCTTAACTTCTATGGCGGGTAAAATATTTGAAAGGTTTTTAAGGGATAATATTCAAGAATTCCTTGAGAAGAACATGCTTATCAGCAAAAATCAGCATGGTTTTATGAAGCACAGGTCATGTCAAACTAACTTGATTGCGTTCTACGAAGAAGTAAGTAGAAGTATAGATCAGGGTGTTGCCGTGGATGTGATCTATTTGGATTTTGCCAAGGCATTTGATACAGTTCCACACAATAGATTGGTGTTCAAACTCAAGGAAATCGGTCTAGATGAAAATGCTTGTTCTTGGGTAGAACATTGGCTTAAAACACAAAAGAGTTGTCATTAATGGTAAATTTTCAAGCTGGACAGAGGTGGCAAGTGGTGTCCCTCATGGGTCTGTTCTGGGACCCCTTCTATTTAACATGTTTATAAATGATCTTGAAGACCGCATTGAAAGTCATGTTTCAGTGTTTGCAGATGACACAAACTTTGTAAAACAATACAATGTGAGCAAGATATTACTTTGCTGCAGAGGGATTTAGATAGACTGGGGGACTGGGCACTCAAATGGCAGATGAAATTTAATGTTGAAAAATGCAAAGTTATGCACTTCGGCGTAAAGAATACACAAGCAACGTATACCCTTAATGGAAGCGAATTAGGGATAACAACACACAAAAGGACTTGGGAATTGTTATAGACAACAAACTATGCAACAATGTGCAATGTCAATCAGCAGTGGCCAAGGCCAGTAAGCTATTGTCATGCATGAAAAAGGGCATTCATTCTCGGGACGAGAATATAATTTTGCCTCTTTATAAATCACTGGTAAGACCCCATATTGAATATGCTGTGCAATTTTGGGCACCTGTTCTAAAGAAGGATATTATGGCACTAGAAAAAGTGCAGAGGCGGGCTACAAAATTAATAAAAGGAATGGAACATATCAGCTATGAAGAAAGATTAACAAATTTAAACCTATTTAGTTTAGAAAAACGTCACCTGAGAGGGGATATGATAACATTATACAAATATATTCTGAGCCAATACAAACCATTGTGTGGAAATCTATTCACAAACCGGACTTTACATAGGACACGAGGCCATGCGTTTAGACTGGAAGAAAGAAGATTTCGTCTAAGGCAAAGGAAAGGTTTTTTTTACTGTAAGAACAATCAGGATGTGGAATTCTTTGCCTGAAGAAGTGGTTTTATCAGAGTCCATACAGATGTTCAAACGCTACTAGATGCATACTTGCAAGAACAGAATATTCAAGGATATAATCTTTCAATGTAGGGTAATAACTGCTTGATCCAAGGATAAATCTGACTGCCATTCTGGGGTCAAGAAGGAATTTTTTTCCTAGCTTGTTGCAAAATTGTGCTTCAAACTGTGTTTTTTGCCTTTGTTTGGATCAACAGCAAAAAACAAATGTGAGGAAGGCTGAACTTGATGGACGCAAGTCTCTTTTCAACTATGTAACTATGTAATTAGCAGTTATGTTGGACCTGACACTTGTGTTTTATAGATAATTTATCTGCATATGTAATTTAGGTAGTAAACGGATTTCATAAAGCACATCTTTGCACTTGCTAAAGTTTAGATATCTTACTTGTTTACTTTAGTTTATTATAGTGAACTCCATTAGAAAAGTCTAAAAATTTACCCTAACATTAAAAGGTTTATATATAATTTTTAGTATTGAGATATGAAACCATTATATGTAAATGCAATTTATGCAAAGAATGTTGATGGTATATACACAAATTAGCATTAAGAAAACACTGGTTTTGGTCAGAGTAACCTTTCCTATACTGGTCCCCCTATACACACAAAAAAAAACAACATTAAAAGCAAAGAAAAAAAGAATATATATATATATATATATATATATATATAAAATCTAGAATATATCTAGATTTTTTTTTAGCAATTAAACTTCATTTACTCTCTATATAGAGAATTCTTCTTTCCTAACTTCTCTATCTTTTCTTCTCTTTTAATTAAAAGAGAAGAAAAGATACATAAGTACATGGTGAACATACAAAAGATAAAACAGTAGCCATACTAGACCAGTAATGCAGTAATAACACAACGCATTTTGTAATACCCTATTATCTGGGCTAACAGAACTTTGTGGGAAGCTTATCAAATCTAAAGGTATTAATGTGATTATCTAATTTTACATATGTTTGTATGCATATATTAAATGTATACACGCCAGTAAAATAACTCAGTGGATTATTACACTACTACAGAAAATCTTGGGTCCATTCAGTCAGTCATCGCTCCCTAGCTGATTGAATGTGTACCAAATCTGTTTAGTTATGGATGTCATGGATGGCAGCTCTTAAATGTCACTGTCACCTGTGTTTGTTCCAGAAGAAGACAGGAAAGTGACATCTGTAAAGAAGAAACGATCCGAAATTGTTTAAAAGTGCCCCAACTCATAATCCAGGTGTTCACATCTATCAAGCCTGTTTTAAATGTTCTTCACTGATGTAACTTGCTTATCTCCTGCTAGAATAGACAGTGGACACAGTGACATATGTGGATTTAGATGGAAAATGTCTCTTCCCAAGATTTTTAATACTATGGGTACCTTGCAGCTGTTTTCACTTTTATCCTATAACTGTACTTCGATCTTGGCTCCCTGTCAATCATTTTAAATGTTGCCCTCTATTGCCATCGAACATAGTATAGGAAGAGGAGAAACTGAAATAATGTTATCATGCTCCTCTTCTTTTGCAATGTGTGCCCTGAACTGAACTGGACTGAGAAGTAACTTGCTAAATATTTGTAATATATATTTAAAAGAAAACAGAGCATCACATTAAAGAGTCAATGTAAGTTATAGGCGATTTTCTGTGTTTTATTCAAAGGTGTTATTCCCAGAGAAGTGACAGTTCCTCTTTAAAAGTTGATGAAGATATACATTTTCTGTGTTGCTCTTGGAAGTAGTCAGGCCCCAATGTTGCTCATTTGCTGTTGGACGTTATCCATATATTGTCCTTTAATGTATTAGCATGTTATTTATATTCACAAAATGGCTTTCAGACATTGTAGTAAAATAGAACTTCTCTTTAGTTCAGTACACACACACATAATAAAATAAAAACAAGAGAGACTAACAGAACAGAACAAGTGCATAACTTCACTATGCTGCCATCTACTGGAAGGTGGACTGCATAACACACCAATACATAACACTCTTCCCCCTCAAAGTCTTTGAGATAACTGCGAGGGTGAATATTTCTTCTTAGGCGCCCCAAAACCATGTTTGGAGCTGCTTCACCTGGACCTTCAGTTGTGCCCATCCCTTCTTCCTGTGCTCTCTCAGATGGATCGCAAGGAACTGGTTCTGCAACAACAACTCCTGGAGAACTGACACCTGTATCACCCAGTGGTTCAACATCATCTGGTATCACAGAAAACCCGGTATGACTGGGACCAACAGCAGGCACAATCTCATCACTCCGTTCCCGGATCTGATCGACATGCCTTCGTAATATTCTACCATCAGGAATTTGAACTTTGTATGACAAAGGTCCTGTGGCCATAAGTACTTTTGCAGGTATCCATTTAGGACCAGAAACATAATTCCTGACATAGACAGCACTGTAAGGTGCAAATACTCTCACAGTAGAAGCATTATAGTTCTTATTGAATTGCAATTCTTGCTTCTCTTGTAACTCAGATGTCAAAGCAGGATGTAAACGATCCAGACAAGTTTTAAGATGCCGGTTCATAAGGAGCTCTGCTGGACTACTACCAGTGCTTGAGCATGGTGTCACATGTTCTTGTAGAAGGAAATTTGCAAGTCTACGATTCATCCATTTTAGGCCACCAAACATAACTTCTGGCTAAAGCTTTCATGCAAACTATTCCAGGATGTCCTTCATGAAGAGCATGCAATACTCAAGTTTGTCCTGCATTTGGAATTACCACTCTTTTTCCCCATAATAGGCACCCTTTATAGGCAGATAGTTCATGTTGGCGCACTACAAATGGTTTGAACTTGTCTTCCACTTTTGATTTTGGCCACCCCCTCCAAACCCAGTTGAGCACAAGGGACAGCAAAGGATCCTTGGCAGACATACAAGCAATGTCACTTGCATGTAACGGAGGGTTTGGAATGGATTCCAACATGAGGACCTCAGACATAGGAGGAACAAGGAAGTCAGGAGAAGGCAAAGGTAATCGGCTTAATCCATCAGCATGTTTGATATCCTTGCCAGGATGATACTTGAACTCACAATCATAGGCATTCAGCATAAGGGACCACCTGAGCCTGCGTGGTGAAATTATTTGAGAAGTGGGAGTATTGCTAGTGAACCCAGTAAAGTTTTATGATCTGTTATAATAGTAAACCTCCATCCATACAATTAGTCATGAAACTTTTTTACACTGGACACAATAGCTAAAGCCTCCTTGTCAATTTGGGCGTAATTCCTCTCTGTAGTAGATAAAGTCCGTGAGTAAAACGCAATAGGAGCCTCAACCCCATTTCTCAAAGTGTGGCTCAATACAGCCCATATGCCATATGGAGAAGCATCGCAGGTGAGGTTGAGTGGTTTCTCCAAATCATAGTGTAAAAGTAAACTGTCAGAAGACAACAGGTTTTTAGCAGTGCAGAAAGCGGTAGCATGAACGTCAGTCCACTTCCATGGAGCATCTTTATCTAAAAGACAATGCAGAGGTTCAGCAACAGTACCTTTATCAGGCAGAAAAGAATGGTAAAAATTAAGCAACCCTAGGAAAGCTTGCAGTTCTTGTTTGTTTGTTGGAGCCGGAGCTCTATGGATAGCTTCAACCTTAGAATCAGTTGGATGAATGCCCTGTGCGTCAACTCGGTAACCAAGGAAATCCACGCTGCTTACACCAAAAACACACTTTTCTTTTTTAAGTTTTAGACCAGCATCAAGAAAACGTTGTAAAACAAGTTGTAGCTGTGCAGCCAATGACTGTATAGAATCTGCTCCAATAAGGACGTCATCAAAATAAGGCACAACACCTCGAAGTCCAGAGAAGAGGTCCTCCATTAAATTCTGGAATATGCCAGGAGCAATGGAAACTCCAAACTGCAAACGTCTTGCTCGGAAAGCTCCTTTGTGTGCTATTATCGTTTGTGCATCAGCAGCCTCATCATCCACAGGTAACTGCTGGTAGGCTTGAGCCATATCCAACTTGGCAAATACTTTTCCTTTTGCCAAAGTAGTAAGAATTTGATTAACAGCTGGAATTTGATAGGGATGCTCTTGCAACGCTTTGTTGATTGTACATTTGTAGTCAGCACAGATTCTGATATCCCCATTTGGTTTCATCACCAGAACTATGGGTGTACACCACTTTGGGTGTGTTACGGGTTCAAGTATACCTTGGTCCACAAGACTGGGTGAGCATCTAACGGAGGAGGGAAGATGCAGCCCTCGAGAAATCTTGAAGGCGAGCATCAGAGGTGGGAGTATGGACAGAAGATAGACGTAAGTCTTCAGCAGATCGTAAGGGCCTAGACGGGACTTGTGTATTTCTCCTTTACATATATTATTTATCAACCTTGTTTAATTATCCTTCTCATTTACCCTGGTGGTGCGGTGGTTACATAATGTGTAAAAAGCAACATCCCTTTATTTTTTTCACAGTAAATGCTACTATCCCTTCTTCATAATGTTATAAAGCCCTGTGACAGGAGAGGTAGAATATATTAAATCCCACCCTCACAATCTCCTTTATATCTTCCTCGTATTACAATTAAGCAGAGATTGTAGTTCTTATGTGTGTGCTGCCAGTGGCATCACAAGTGGGGTGCAGGGGGTGCGGACCACACCAGGGTGCATCACAGGGGGGGTGGGGTGACAACCAGGGCCGGCGCTTCCTATAGGCAATTTAGGCAGTCGCCTAGGGCGCACTGACCCGGGAGCGCAGGATTTGAGTGACCCGGCAGGAGGGAAGCGCACAGCTCCCTCCTGCCGGTCACTCAGTGTAACGTGGCTGGGCTGTGGACCGCGGTACAGGAGCATCTGTTTCCTGTACCCGGCCAGACTGACAGGAAGTGCTCACTGAGAGAGCACTTACTGTCAGTCCGGCTGGGTACAGGAAACAGAAGCTCTTGGACTGCGGTCCGCCGCCCGGCCACGCTACAAAGATAGGTAGGAGCCACAAAGAAGGAGGGAAGAGGAGGACCACCAAGAAGGGGGGTGGGGGGAACAGAGTGAGGACCACTAAAGGGGGAGAGGTAGAACCACTAAGGGGGGGGAGGCAGGACCACTAAGAGGGGTGGGGAGGTAGTACCACTAAGAGGGGTGGGGGAGGAGGAGAGAGAGGACCACTAAGGAGTTGGGGTAGACACAGTACCACTAAGTGGGGGGGTAGGGAAGAAACACTAAGATAGGGGGAAGGGGGGACCACTAAGGGAAAGGGAGAGAGAGAGGACCACTAAGGAAAAGGGAAGGAAGAGGAACACTAAGGGAGGGGAGGGGAGGGGAGGAGAGAGTACTAAGGGACAGGGGAGTTCACTAAGGGACAGGAGGGGGTGCTCTAAGGTACACGAGGGGGGAGCTCTAAGGGACAGAAGGGGGAGCTCTAAGTGACAGGAGGCTGAGGAAGGGGTGAAAGAGAAGCACAGAGGGGCTGGTAGGGGGGAAAGAGACATGCAGAGGGGCTCAGGAGAGAGACACACAGAGTCACTTGTGAGGGAGACACACAGAGGAGCCTGGTGGGAAAAGAGACACACAAAGGAGCTGGGAAAAGTAAGACACAAAGGGGCTTGAGGGAATGAGACACACAAAGGGGTTGGGAGGATGTAGGAGACATACAAAGAGGGGGGGAGAGACACACAAGGGGCTTGCAAGAGACACACTAAAGGGGGGTGTAAGACACAAAACTTAAAGAAAAAAATATACAAAAAAAAAGTATATTAACAAAATAAATATAGCTCCTATCCTACCCCACATACCCCCTCTTTCACACTACACACATACACAATGCATCCTTACACGTACACAGAAACACACAATGAATCCCTATTCACACACAGACACACTACATCCCTTACACAAATTGGTATCCCTATACGCTACATTCCATAAGAACACACACATTACATCCTCTACAATAACACACAACACATCCCCTACACTCATACATTCCACTCCCTGTGCTCAAACACATGGGTGGGCCATGTAGGTGGACTTATAGGCGGGCCTTGTAGACACACTCACAGTCAGGCCCTGGGGACCCAGACACTGAGCTGTGTAAGGGGCCCAGAAAAATGGAGCTGCTTCATATTCATTGATTTTTGTGAGCACTATTACAAACAGCCTCCAGAGAGCGTGTTCTACACTAGACCAGTGGAGCCAGACTGCAGCCTGAGCCCATCATCATCCTCTTGTCCTCATCTGGTGGTAAGTAGGCAATCCAGTATATTATTAGGGGCACTAATCTCTAATTTACCTCACATTAAAGGGACACTGTAGTCACCAGAACCACTACAACTTACACATTATTAAGGAGGTTGGGATGACACCGCAAGTTACCACCCTGGGTGACACCAACCCTTGTGACGCCACTGGTGTGCTGAGAGAAGCATGTATAACTCTTGCAGTGCATTGGTTGCCACATTGCAGTCTGCTTCTGTTAACACATATTTGGGACATACTTCTCTACCTAACCCCTGCCATTGGCACATACACCTGCAATACATGTACCAAGGGTTGAGAAACAGGAAGGTACACAATATGTGCCTAGCAGTGGCAGCATTTCCAATGAACTATTTACAAATGTAAAAGCAACAATCTAAAAAAGGTTCATTGAGTCACTGATAGCTTATGTCAATGTATTTCACCCATTGTACAGCTTTACGGAACTTGCTGGCGCTGTATAAATAATAAAATAATAATGATACACATTTAACATTCCACATTTGTCTGTTACTGTGGACCAAGCAAACCCATGTTAAACTTTCTAGGTTTATTCAACAAAACATTAGATATTTCACGTACTTATTAGCATACAACATGCTTATTAGTGTTACTTTTTATTTAACGTTTCTTGGAAAAGAATGGCGCCCACAGACCACAGCAGCTGGAGGGCCTGATGATAATTATCTTTGATCTAACTAATACAAGCAATTTCTGGCTTAGTTTGTTATCGGAAATCCTGACTCTGCCTATCCCTTGATAGAATAATGGATACTCATTATAGCCTCACCTACACAAAGGAGATTGAAACGAAGAGCATGAAAATGAAAGAAAAACACTGAATATTGAAAAGAAGAATTATGCATTTTAAAAGCATCCTAGAAATGGTTACGTGATATTATTTACCACCATGT